TGGCCTACCTCTTAGTCGCCCTTTTCTGCAATATTACTAAAATCAACTGAATATTATTATTATTTTCTGAGTGCTTATCATTGAGAGTGTTTCCCTATAACAAAGGTATAAACATGAGATATTTTCATTTATATTTTCCTACACAGTTTTCCTATATTACAACAAATGATTCACCATACATAATACATAACCCCCGGACTATTTCATAATTTACTTGACGCTTGCTGTATAAAAAAAACACTACTGATATCTTTACTATTTCGTGTGAGACAACATGACACAACGGACGAAGGATTTTGACAACCCTACCGAGACAACAGGAGTCGCAGTGTTCATATTGAAATTCATCGATCACCTCCGTAGAGATACTTTTTTTGAACTGTTTTAAAATATAATACGATACGTCTTTTCCCGTTAATCAGTACACCGTTAACGGAAGTATACACCATCATCCACAACAACGGGTTTATCCTACAACAGATGAAACCAGAAGCCATTATACCGTTAACAGAAGCATACACCACCATCCACAACAACGGGTTTATCCTACAACAGACGAAGCCACAAGCCAGAGAGCATCAGGTGGAGACTTACAACAAAGAAGCCACACACACACACACACACACACATACACACACACACACACACATACACACCTACCTCAGTCATAAACTTAACTCTACCAACCCACAATTATGATAAAGGGAGGAGAGAAAGAATTATGATAAAGGGAGGAGAGAAAGAATTAAGATAAAGGGAGGAGAGAAAGAATTATGATAAAGGGAGAAGAGAAAGAAAGTTGACGTATAAGCAGTGGGTCTTGGTCGTGGTCAAAGGCTCGGAGGATCACATTATAACTCAGCTCAGTTGTTTGTGGACTTTAGACTATATTGTTGTGGTACAGAGGAGAGGAGCAGAGGCTGGGAATCTTCCTCACAGACAAATGTTCAAATGTTGCTAATCAATACTTGTTTCTGTTCGATTTGTATTGATGTAAGTTTAAATTGAGAAATATAACCTTATTAACCTAACCTAACTCAATTTAATATAAACCTAACTGAACTTATCTTAACCTTACCCAATTTAACTTAACCTAACTCAGCCTAACCTAAACCTAACTCAGCCTAACCTAAACCTAACTCGCTTCCTAACCTAGAAGCCTACTTTCAGCTAACCTAAACCTAACTCCAGCCTAACCTAAAGCCTAACTCAGCTAACCTAAACCCTAATAAGCCTAACCTAGAAACCCTGCTCAGACTAGCCTAAACCTAACTCAGACTAACTAAACCCTAGCTCAGCTAACCTAAACCTAACCTAAACCTAACTCAATACAACACAAACCTGGCTTCAAAGCCTGCTCAGACCCCAAAACACAAAGCCTAACCCTAAACCTGCTCAGACTAGCCTAAACTGCTCAGCTAACCCTAAAACCTGTACCTAAACCTAGCACTCCCAGCCCTAACCTAAAGCCTAACTCAGCCTAGCTTCCCTAAACTAACCTAAACCTAGCTCAGCTAACCTAAACCCTAGCTCCATTTCACCCACAAACCTGCTCGGCCTAACCCTAAAACCTAACTCAGACCAACCTAAACCTAACCTAACTGTACTACCCAACTCGCCAACTGCCACCAACTGCACACCCTCGAACACCAACTGCCTAACCCACACCTAACTCAGCCAACTACCTACTCCTCAACTCGCCAACTACTGCTCAGCCTCAAACCTAACCACCTACTGCAACCCACCACCTAAACCTAACTCAGCCTAACCTAAACCCAACGCCTAACCTAACCTAACTTAGCCTAACCTAAACCCAACTAGCCAACCTAAACTAACCTAACCTAACTCAGACTAACCTAAACCTAACTCAGCTAACCTAAGCCTAACCTAAACTAACTCAGCCTAACCTAAACCTAACCTAAATCCCCAAATGATTCCATATATATATTTTGGGGTTTTATTTTTTCTTTACAAATTAAAGAAGTTTGACGAAAAGAACTTGATTGTGAATTACTGCTGGTGAGGAGAAGAGATAACACCGCCAACACCTGCCGCCAACACCGCCAACTGCCGCCAACACCGCTAACTGCCGCCAACGCCAACTGCCCAACACCGCCAACTGCCTCCAACACCGCCAACTGCTCCAACACCGCCAACTGCCGCCACCACCGCCGCCAACTGCCGCCAACTGCGGCCGACACCGCCAACACCGCCAACACCGCCAGCTGCCGCCACCACCGCCAACTGCCGCCATTGACGCCAACTGCCGCCAACATCGCGAATATCCTGTAATTACATGTTTCACGACACACTACAGCCAATATCGGGGAGTGTCTCAATACCTGCCTACCTCTCTCCCCAGGGGCACAGTGTTGTATGTACCTGTTAGTGTGTTCTGCAGGTGAGTCTTTGAAGATTGGGAGGTGACATACTGTACATACATACAGTACATACATACATACATACATACAGTACATACATACATACATACAGTACATACATACATACATACAGTACATATACATACATACATACATACATACATACATACATAATATACATACATACATACATACACTATTCCCACACACACACACACACACCTTAAAGGGTCTTCCTGCGCCAACAGTTTAATTACTTAATTACCCCCATAAATATTGAGTATATGAGTGAGAGCTGGCCACTGGTATCACCTGAAGATTCCCCAGTATATTTCACCTGAAAATTAGCCCCCCCAGTCTATTTCACCTGTAGCTCCCTTCCTTTAAATCATGTCTAAAAAATATCTATTGTCGAAGTATTAATACTTTTGTAACACTTACTACATTCACAGTACTGCTTTTATTGTACCAATTAAAACCGTTTTATCGGAAATTATCATTTAAATAAATAAGTAATTACCATTGCAATAAAGATAATTGCCAACTAGATATAATCCTGAAAGCTCTGTCCTCTTGTTCAACCTTATTACTGACAACGCAGGTTGTACTATCCATTATACTTATGTTTTTAAATTCCACTTTAATTTATATATATATATATATATATATTTGTGTGTGTGTGTGTATGTGTATATGTATGTATAAATAAATAAATAAACAAAATAATAAAAAAATAAGATAAAATAAAATAAAATAAAAAATAATAAATAATAATATTGAAGTGATAGCGTGGTAACATTATGAGATGTACTAACCACTATGCTATTGTACTATTCCACATGATACTAAATGTTTCATAATATTTCCTTGAGATAAATGTATAGTATATATCAGGTGCCTAAAAGAGAGCTCAGGTTCTCTATTGGCTCAGCCATGTTAATATTGTTATTATCCACTCCGTATCTGTGTTTTTCTGGCCAAATAAACTGTCTCAATCCAATTCAATTCAATTCAATGTCCACTCCTACCTGGCACGAGATCTACCATGGTTAATTAATAACCTCGCCAGGTAATCATCATATATAACAAACTCAGGCTTGGTTAGGTTAGGTCAGATTAGGTCAGGTTAGGTCAGGTTAGGTTAGATTCATTGGTTATCTAGATATTATTGAAGGATCATTACTGGAGTCCATAAGTTGAACGATAGTACGTAGTAGACAGCTACCAAACAGGGAGGTACTACCGCCTGGGAAGATATTGGAAGCATAATGTGTTGTCTAATGGTAGACCCTGCTGCCATATGGCATCACGAAAGTTGTGACCAAGTCCCAGGTTGCTGATGTGTTTTTCTGCCTCATTTACACACAATTGCAGGGTCTCAATTGTTCCTCTTACTTTGACAACACAACATACATATATTGTTTCTCAATTTTTATCTTTTTTTTTTCATTTTCGCAATTCTTTATTGTTATTATTATTATTATATTTTCGCCCCCAGGCCCCGATGTGGGTCGGTGACCTGTGTCCGGGTGGGCTGGTCTCTGTAAAAAAATATATATGTATATACTGCTGTTAGTGCCTCTTAATATTTCATTCCGGATAATGTTAGCGATTAATGAGAGCCATCACTACCTGTCACTGAATCTCTCGCTCTCTCTCTCTCTCTCTTTCTACGTCTGTCTCTCTCTCGCTCTCTCTTTATCTTTCTCTCTCTCTCTCCGTCTGTCTCTCTCGCTCTCTATCTCTCTCGTTCTTTCTCTCTCTCACACACATATAATGCCTGGTAGCGTTGTCAGGATGCCACTAATGCCCCCAACAAGCTCCGGGAGAGAGCATACAGCCGACCCACGCCCCTGGCCACTTTCCTGGAGGCCATGACGGTGGGGGGATAGCCCTTGCCAGCCTTCACATTGGCCACTCTAGACTGACCTGACACATGGCCGCCTCATAGACCCAGAAGCTCCATTATTAACCACTTGTTGGTGAATGACCTAATATGAGGGGGGGGGGGAGGTAGGAGGAGGGCAACTATCCAAGAATCAAGATGGTTACTACTTCCTGTCCTTCGTTCCAGAGGTGTCACTTCCAGATGTCTCACTGAAGGACAAAATCTCACTAATTGGTCATTTAGTTATCGCCCGACAGGTGAGGTGGCCAGCGGTAAAGGATTAAATATCTATTAAGTTCAGTTGGTCGACAAAAATCAGTTGGTCGACAGAATTTGCGACTATTTGGCTGTTGTCTGTCACTTTCCATTTGTTTAATATGACATACTATAATAATATTCCTGTATGAGTTAGTTGTTATAACCTAACCTAACCTAACTCTAACCCACCTAACCTAACCTCACCTCACCCTCACCTCACCACCTCACCTAACCTAACCTAACCTAACCTAACCTAACCTAACCTAACCTCACCACCTCACCTAAACATATCTTAACTAACTTAACCTAAACTAACTTAATCTCTCTTTCACACACACACGGTAAGTAAAGCATGGGAGACTACACAACCAGGGAGAGAGAGAGAAAGAGAGAGAGAGAGAGAGAGAGAGAAGAGAGAGAGAGAGAGAGGGGGCTGTCAAGAATCAGGTGACAGAAAGTGACAGGAGACAGACAGCAGAGGAAGCTGTCTCGCTGATTGTGTATATCTGTCTCTTCTCTGCTCACCACAAAGGCGGGTCGAGGAGGGCTGGAGGGCAGGGGCTGTGAGGGCAGGGGCTGTGAGGGCTGGAGGGCAGGGGTCTGAGGGCAGGGGTCTGAGGGTTGGAGGGCAGGCTGTGAGAGGGTGGGCCAGAAGGTTGGAGGGCAGGGGCTGTGAGGGCTGGAGGGCAGGGGCTGTGAGGGCAGGGGCTGTGAGGTTGGAGGGCAGGGGCTGAGGGCTGGAGGGCAGGGGCTGTAGGGCTGGAGGGCAGGCTGTGAGGGCAGGGCTGTGGGAGGTTGGAGGGCAGGGGCTGGAGGCAGGGGCTGTGAAGGTTGGAGGGCAGGGGCTGTGAGGGCTGGAGGGCAGGGGCTGTGGAGGGCAGGGGCGGAAGGTTGGAGGGCAGGGGCTGTGAGGGCTGGAGGGCAGGCTGTGAGGGCAGGGGCTGTGAGGTTGGAGGGCAGGGGCTGTGGAGGGCTGGAGGGCAGGGGCTGTGAGGGCAGGGGCTGTGAAGGTTGGAGGGCAGGGGCTGTGAGGGCTGGAGGGCAGGGGCTGTGAGGTTGGAGGGCAGGGGCTGTGAGGGCTGGTGGGCAGGGGCTGTGAGGGCTGGAGGGCAGGGCTGTGAGGGTTGGAGGGCAGGGGCTGTGAGGGCTGGGGCTGGAGGCTGAATGACGCACTAAGTGGCATATGAATGAACTCTCATTTGTCGTCGATTGAGAGGATGATGATGTGACCATAATAGCCTCTCCGCCTCACGCCACCAGGAACCTCTTATCTACAACCTAACCTAACATAACATAACAGCAACCTAACATAACACAACATCAACACAACACAACATACAAACATAGCCTGACATAACATACAACCAACACAACACAACCAACATAACAGCACCTAACCTAACATAACATACAACCTAACCTAACATGAGACTTCCCAACCAAAAAAACAACCCAACCTACACAACATGGCAACTAACAGCAACCCAACACAGCAACCTAACACAACACAACACAACATGCAACCCAACAATCAACCAACACTTAACCTAACTCTACAAATGTAACCTAACCTAACATAACAACCTAACCTACCTATCTCTGCCTATGTAACCTAACCTAACCTTCTACCTAACTCTAACTAATACATACTAGCATATATAAGGCTATTCGTGTCTCAGTGAAGCATCGGGTTGATTCGTGTCTCAGTGAAGCATCGGGTTGATTCGTGTCCCAGTGAAGCATCGGGTTCATTCGACTCTCGGTGAAGCATCGGGTTGATTCGTGTCCCAGTGAAACATCGGGTTGATTCGTGTCCCAGTGAAACATCAGGTTGATTCGTGTCCCAGTGAAACATCGGGTTGATTCGTGTCCCAGTGAAACATCAGGTTGATTCGTGTCCCAGTGAAGCATCGGGTTGATTCGACTCCCAGTGAAGCATCGGGTTGATTCGAGTCCCAGTGAAGCATCGGGTTGATTCGTGTCCCAGTGAAGCATCGGGTTGATTCGACTCTCGGTGAAGCAGCATCATTCACCCCTTGGCTCACGTCTTTCACTACAGCTATTCACTTCATCAAAGCCACCCAGAAGACGGCACCTCAATCACCACAGTCGAATCACATTAGAACCAAACTACCACACAGTCTCGATCTGAGGAAATTGTTGACATGACCGATCGGACAAATTGGGCAATTATTACTGGCTGTCTGTGACCTCACTCCACTGACCTTACTCCTCTGACTTCATCCCCACTGACCTCATTCCTCTGACTTCACCACCACTGACCTTTCTCCTTTGACTTCACTGACTTCATTCCTCTGACCTCAAGGCAAGGTGAAATTAGCTGGGGGTGTCTAATCTTCATATGAAATTAGGTTTTTACAGGTTCAGAAGTACACTAAAAGCATTAGTAGTGTGTGGTTATAAGTGAAATATCTCTCTCTCTCTCTCTCTCTCTCTCTCCTTGTATTCATCTCTATCTCTCTCTCCTTGTAGTCATCTCTCTCTCTCTCTCCTTGTATTCATCTCTCTCTCTCTCTCTCTCTCTCTCTCTCTCTCTCTCTCTCTCTCTCTCTCTCTTCTCCTTGTATTCCTCTCTCTCTCTCTCCTTGTAGTCATCTCTCTCTCTCTCTCCTTGTAGTCATCTCTCTCTCTCTCTCCCCTTGTAGTTCTCTCTCTCCTTGTAGTCATCTCTCTCTCTCTCTCTCTCTCTCAATAAGTAAATAACTCACGTCACATCTTGTTCTCTGACCATTAATATCAACCCTTTGTTCATCCATTACTTTTAGTGGGTTAGGTTAGGTTAGGTTTCACCGTCGTGATGAGGTCGCCCCCTCTCTCCCTTTCCTTGTTAACTTACTAGGTGTTTGTTTTTCAGTGTTGCAGTGTGTTGGAGAGTGAGGGACTGTGTTGCAGAGTGAGAGACTGTGTGTGTTGCAGAGTGAGGGACTGTGGTGTGTTGCAGAGTGAGAGCCTGTGTTGCAAAGTGAGGGACTGTGGTGCGTTGCAAAGTGAGGGACTGTGGTGTGTTGCAGAGTGAGAGCCTGTGTTGCAAAAGTGAGGGACTGTGGTGTGTTGCAAAGTGAGGGACTGTGGTGTGTTACAGAGTGAGGGACTGTGTGCAAAGTGAGGGACTGTGGTGTGTTGCAAAGAGTGAGGACTGTGGTGTGTTGCAAAGTGAGGGACTGGTGTGTTACAGAGTGAGGCCTGTGTTTACAAAGTGAGGGACTGTGGTGTGTTAGAGTGAGAGCCTGTGTTGCAAAGTGAGGGACTGTGGTGTGTTACAGAGTGAGAGCCTGTGTTGCAAAGTGAGGGACTGTGGTGTGTTACAGAGTGAGAGCCTGTGTTGCAAGTGAGGACAGTGGTGTGTTACAGAGTGAGAGCCTGTGTTGCAAAGTGAGGGACTTGGTGTGTTGCAGAGTGAGAGCCTGTGTTGCAAAGTGAGGGACTGTGGTGTGTTGCAGAGTGATAAATTCTGTTGTAAAGTGAGAAGAAAAAACTAATGATAAAAAAAATAAACGCCTGTGATCAGTAGATAAGACAACATATAATGATCACATCTTCCATTCTGAGAGGCTAAAACATGACCTTTGCTGGTAAGCATGGCCTGACATAAGAGCGACAGGCAGAAACTGTATGGATACTGACCTGAGAGGCTAGTGCAGGCTGTGTGGCATGGCCTGGTGACAAAGGAGCTTGACTGGCTGAGGCAGTGTGGCCTGACAGGAGCAGCGCTTTGGGTGTGGTGTGGGCTGCGGGTGGGGTGGCCTGGCCTGGGGTGGGGCAGTGGGCGTTGGGGTGGAGTGGGCTGGGTGGGGTGTGGCCTGGGCTGGGGGTTTGGGCTGTGGTGTGCTACCAAGGCAACGTGGCTGTGTGGATACCTGGGCACAAAGGCCGGCTTGTGTCTGTGGCTGGGCCGCAGTGTGTGCAAAGCAACAACCTTTAGCTGTATAACATAACCTAACCTAAAATAACCTAACCTAACCTGCCAAGTCAAAATTAATTATAAAATGTGAACAAAATTGAATGTAAAGTGTGCACAATAAACTAACTACTGTTCGTCGTAATCACACACACACACACACACACGTGCTAGGGTGCACACTAAACTAGCTGCTATCCGGCAAACACACACACACACACATGCTGGGTGCACACTAAACTAGCTGCTATCCCTGGCAAACACACACACACACACACACACACACACACACACACACACACACACACACACACACACACACACACACACACACAACCAGAACAAGAGGTAACATAACGCTGTACAAACCTTTAGTGCTCATATTCACCTAATAAAAAGAAGAATGACCGTTACACTTGTTTTATTGTTCATAAACTGATCCTTGTGTGTGTGTGTGTGTGAGAGTCGAGCTTACTCATTGTTATAGAGGCGTGTTGCAATGGTAAGGTAGTGTTGCAATGACGGGAGTGTTGCAGGGGCCGGAGTCTTGAGAGGCGGCTGGGGAGAGTTGAGAGGGAAGACAAGAGGTTGTGGTGTGTAGTAGACGGAGAGAGGGAGGGACGGAGAGGGGAGGGATGGAGGGAGGGGATGGAGGGGGAGGAGGAGAGGGGGAAGGGAAAGAGGTGGAGAGGCCCTAAGGGGTAGTATAGTGGACTAGAGATGTGTATATGAAGGTGAGGCAGAGTGTGTGTTGAAAGGCCAAGGTGTGTGAGAGAGAGAGAGAGAGGGTAACAGCAGCGAGAGATCAGGGTGACCTTTAACCTTCAGAATGGGTGAAGGAAGGAGGTGTGATGAGGTGGGTTAGGTAAGAGGTGGGTGAGGTGAGAGGTGGATGAAGTGAGAGGTGGGTGAGGTGAGAGGTGGATGAGTGAGAGGTGGGTGAGGGGTGAGGTGGGTGAGGGGAGGTGGATGATGGGGTGGGTGAGGTGAGGTGGGTGAGGGTGGAGAGGTGGGTGGGGTGAGAGGTGGGTGAGGGGAGAGGTGGGTGGGGTGAGGTGGGTGGGTGAGGTGGGTGGGGGTGAGGTGGGTGAGATGAGGAGGGTGGATGAAGTGAGAGGTGGGTGGGGGTGGGGAGGTGGGTGGGGTGGGGGTGGATGAAGTGGGGTGGGTGGGGTGAGAGGTGGGTGGGGTGGGAGGTGGGTGAGGTGAGAAGTGGATGAAGTGAGAGGTGGGTGAGGTGAGGAGGTGGGTGAGGTAAGAGGTGGATGGTGGGGTGGGTGGGGTGAGGGGTGGGTGGGGTGAGAGGTGGATGAGTGAGGTGGGGTGAGGTGGTGGGTGTGGGGTGAGAGGTGGATGAAGTGAGAGTGGGTGAGGGTGAGGAGGTGGGTGGGGTGGAGGTGGGTGGGGTGGGGAGGGTGGATGAAGTGAGGTGGGTGAGGGTGAGGGAGGTGGGTGAGGTGGGGGTGGGTGGGGTGAGAGGTGGATGAAGTGAGGGAGGTGGGTGAGGTGAGGTGGATGAAGTGGGAGGTGGGTGTGGTGAGGAGGTGGGTGGGGTGAGGTGGGTGAGGTGAGGTGGGTGAGGTGGGGGAGGTGGGTGGGGCAAGAGGTGGATGGAAGTGGGGAGGTGGGTGTGGTGGGAGAGGTGGGTGAGGTGGGGTGGGTGAGGGTGAGGTGGATGGAGTGAGGAGGTGGGTGTGGTGAGGGGTGGGTGGGGTGAAGGTGGGTGAGGGTGGGGGTGGGTGGGGGTGGGGGTGGGTGGTGGGGTGGATGAAGTGAGAGGTGGGTGTGGTGGGGGTGGGTGAGGGTAGAGGTGGGTGAGGTGAGAGGAGGATGGAGTGAGAGGTGGGTGGGGTGAGAGTGGGTGAGGTAAGAGGTGGGTGAGGTGAGAGGTGGATGAGTGAGAGGTGGGTGAGGTGAGAGGTGGATGGAAGTGAGGTGGGTGTGGTGAGGGAGTGGGTGAGGTGAGAGGTGGGTGGGGTGAGGTGGTGGGGTGGGGGTGGGTGGAGTGGGGGGGTGGGTGGGGTGAGGTGGGTGTGTGAGAGGGTGGGTGGGGTGGGGTGGGTGAGGTGGAAGTGGATGAAGTGAGAGGTGGATTAAGTGAGGTGGGTGGGGTGAGGTGGGTGTGATGGGGGTGGGTGGGGTGAGGAGGTGGGTGAGGTGGGGAGGATGATGGGGTGGGTGTGATGGGAGGTGGGTGAGGTGAGGTGGGTGAGGGTGAGGGAGGTGGGTGGGGTGGGGAGGAGGATGAAGTGGGGTGGGTGTGATGGGGAGGTGGGTGGGGTGAGGGAGGTGGGTGGGGTGAGAGGTGGGTGGG